AGATCAGATACAAAAATACATCAGGGCTTTAAAATAAAATAAAGAGGGATCTATGGAATAATTATTTCCTTCAGCAATTTGCATAATAACAAATTTGATATAGCAGGCTCCCACACATATCTGTCATCTTTTTTGGTCTTAATTTTGGTACCATAACATTTATATCTAAGGGCTGGTTGTAGCTCAGTGGTAGAGGGCTTGCCTAGCATGTGTGAGGCCCTGGGTTCGATCCTCAGCACTGTATAATGTAAATAAACAAAATAAAGGTGTTGTGTGCATCTAAAACTACTCTCTCTCTCTCTCTCTCTCTCTCTCTCTCTCTCTCTCTATATATATATATATATATATATATATATATATATATATATAAAATAAAAAGGCACTTATGTCTAAGATTTACAAAAAGTACTCCAAATCTAAGTAACTGGATTAGTCAATATTGAAAAAAAAAATCTATCTGAAAAAATTTAAGAAAGTATTATATTTTATATAACATATATTATATGTAGTATATTATGTATATATAGTATTATATTTTACTTAATTATGTATAAACATACACAATTTTGGTAAAATTAAAATAAAATCAAACTTTCCATAGTCTATAATGACTTCACAATTTTAGGTTCTAAAACCAAGATTATAAGGCTAAGCTGTGAGTTTAGTATCCACCTACTTAAYTGATATCTAAGCCACAAAAGCAGTGGTGCTAAAATTAGTTGGGAGGCAATTATCTTCTACCATATAAATATCTAGAGCAAAGAGTGAAAAAAAATGAGGATTTCTTAAACAAAATGAATACATGTTTTATATAAAGAACATGATTTATAAAATTAGGAGAATATTTTATCATAACTGCTCTTTTCTTAAATATCTTTCCTATAGTTCAACTTCCCTCAGAGAAATGAACCAATGGAACAATTTGGCATATCTTTCCTTTTTCATGATACTGGTTTTTTGTTTTGTTTTGGTTCAGGAATTGAACACAAGGACGTGCATCCCAAGCCACATTCCCAGCCCTTTTAATTTTATTTTTTAGGGTCTCACTAATTTGCTTGGGGCCCTCTGGAACTTTGAATCCTCCTGCCTCAGGATCCCTAGTCACTGGGATTACAGGCATTCACCACCACACCCAGCTCSATGAGAATGATTTTTATTATATCTGGAAAAACAACTGTAAAATTAGAAGTCTGTCATAACAGAAATCATTATATCATGGATTCAGAAATAACACAGAAGAAAGCAAGTCCCCAAAGGCGTTACTACATTCAGCAAAAGCTCCTAGTTACATAATTAACCCCTGTCCATTGAAAATGGTTGCAACAGATGTTAAATGATGTTAATTTATATAGCTTAGTGCTTAAAATGCAATAAAAATTGAATTTTCACTTTAAGTTCTAGTTCTGACTCAAGACAGAAATGCATAAATGCTTTGGAACATAATATAAACTAGATAAAAATAAGTAAGTCATTCTACAGGTATAAAAATAGAGCCATAATTTCTTAATGTTATTAAAATTTTGATTCAAGAAAGTAAACAAGATTCAGAATAGAAATCCAAAAAGGATAGATTAACGTATATAATCAAATAATACAAAATTCTAAGCAAATAATTAAATATACTAATTTGAGTTTACTTTCTTACTCTGAACAATCACTTTCCAGTAGATATAGTCTTCCGATGTTCCACAGTACAAATGTAGAATATACAACCTCCAAAAATAGTTAAATCAATTAATATTTGTTAAGTACCTACCACAGTGCATGGCATGAAGCAAATACAATAAATGGTATCATTATAATTATTTGTTAATATATCTTTCATTTGCACAATACTTCTTAAACAATACAAACTTTTAATAGTTTACAAAATTCACACTGATTTCCAATATTCCTAAGTGTCTGTAAAATTTAAGAATACAGAAAAAACTATAATGATTCATCCAACAAATTTATTATCTGACTCAAAATAATGCTTTAGGGCAATTGTGTTTACCTTGCTTAAAAGCAGYTAAAGAATAAAGGTATGTAACACATATTCCTGTAATCCATTAATCATTTTTGAAACTGAAAATTTTAGCATGTTTAATTCAAATTTGCAATTTTCAATGGATCCTTAAACTACCTCCTTTCAACTTTTCCAGATATATTATTAATAAAACAACTAAAATGTTTCACTACAAACTCTGAAATTTGATCAAAATATGTTCCCTATCTATACTTACGTTTCAAAATAAAGGTTTTTATACTCAATACACAAAAGACTCATAATTCGAGAATAAGATTTTTTTTAAAAMTCAACATCATTAGCAATCAGGGAAATGCAAATCAAAACAACACTGAGATTTCCTCTCACTCCAATTAGAAAGAAATCATCAAAAATACAAMTAATAAATGCTATAGAGAATGTGGGATTGTAAATTAGAACAATCACTGTGGAAATCAATATGGAGATTTCCTAATGGACTAGGAATGGAATAACCATAGCACCCAGAAACACCACTCTTCAGTATTTTTCCAAAGGAATGTTCATGTTCATAGAAGCTCAATTCACAATAGCCAAGTTATAGAATCAGCCTATGCATYCATCACCAAATGAATAAATAAATAATATATATATGTAATTCACCCATAAAGAAGACTGAAATTATGTCATTTGCAGGAAAATAGATGAAACTGGAGCATCATAATGAGCCAATAAGCCAGACTCAGAAAAGGTCATATGTACATGACCAATATAACTCCACCTCATGTTTAACAATAAGAATAGGATCTTTTATTATTATTATTATTATTATTATTTAGGTATAAATGGACACAACACAATGCCTCTATTTTTATGTGGAACCCGGGTCCCGCCCATGCTAGGTGAGCACTCTACCACTAAGCCACAATCCTAGCCCCAGAATGGGATCTTAATTAGAATAAGTTATAGTCAATATATGTGTAACGTGTCAAAATACATTCTACTATCATGTTTATCTAAAAATAACAAATTCTAAAAACGAAAAAAAAGAAAGGGTCATATGTTCTCTCACATGCAGAAGCTCAAAAGAAAAAAAAAATTTTTAAGCGACCTCATAAAACTAGAGGGGAGACCAGTAGGGTTGAGGAAGCGGGAGAGAGAAAGGGAAGGCACTGGGTTATGAAACTGATCAAGTAATGTTATGTGCATGTATATATATATCACAATGAATCCCACTATTATGTATAATGATATACCAACAAAAATGGATTTAAAAAAATATCCTTTGTATCTGTAATAGATATAAATAGAACATAACTTAAATGGATAAGATTCATATTCCACAAGATAATCATAAGAGATMATCAGTAAGAGACATGATGATGAAATCTCACTTCCTAAATATACACTATAGAGACTAATGCATCTTCCAAGTCTTCATCAAGGAGACAAAATGTAACAGATATAAAATAAACTGTAATTTGTAACATAATGATCTACAAAGGCCTGAGAAGAAGAATAATCAAAAGACTATTTGGTTTGTTCCCAAGAACAGGACATGACAACTGCTTGACTTAAATTTAAGTGTCCAAAACCTCTAAAAAGTATTCTTTATTGAGGGAAGGGGTACTTTTTTAGGGGAGTGGGTACTGGGGATTGAACCCAAGAGCACTTTATAACTAAGCTCTTAATTTTTTATGTTGAGACAGGATCTCACTAAGTTACTAAAGCTGGCTTTGAACCTATGATCCTCCTCCCTCAGCTTCCCAATATGCTGGGATTACAGGTATAGGCCACCACACCTAGCAGGAAGAAATAATTCTTTTTATTTATTTATTTATTTATTTTTTAGTTGTCAATGAACCTTCATTTTATTTATTTATATGCAGTGGTGATACTCAAACTCGGTGTCTCACACAGGCTAGGCAAGTGCTCTGCCACTGAGCCACAACCCTGGCCCCAAGAAGGAATAATTCTTAAGCTTCTACCATAACTGATTATGAAATATCATTCAAGAGCTTCCAATTTCTTTTTCTATGATTTGGTGATTATCATGAAATCTCTAGTTATTAACCTGGCTTCCCAAAATCTTGGATATAGCAGAATGCACTGGATTATCAACCCGAAAATTCTTATCAGTGGAAAGGATTATTTTCTATTCCAACTGGCATTCTATTGTGTACATTCTAACTTGTACATCATTCTCCTTTCCCTTCATTTGGACTAGCTTCCTGAAGGCTGAGCATACAAGAATAAAAAGATGCATTTGAGTTTCTTAGATTAGAAACATGAAAACCAGACATTTTCATTGACAACTGCTACAATCCTATYTTGATTTTCACTCCTATGCCCTAACTCTGTGCCTAAAAAAGAAAAAGGGCAGAAGAATTCTTTTGGTTAACTGAAATATGCTAGCCAAACCAAATCTAGGCAGATTCATTTGTATATCAAAATGACTAAGGAAGTAACCACTTTGAATTTAAACCAAAACATAGGATACATATTTATGTAGCCTCCTTTTCCCAAAGGAAAAAAAAAACTATGATATGCAAATTGTGCTATAAGGCAAAATTCAGAAATAATTTCTGAACTTGCATCAGCCAGAAACATTACAACATGGTTTAGCATATATGCTAAATTATTCTAGGATTTTAAAAATTATTTGGGATATCCCATCCGATACAGAACAAGGCAGCAATACTTTAAAGTGTATAAATTTCGGACTTCAAATTATAACTGAGTTTTTTCATTAGGTTATTCAAAAGTAATTGTATTATTTCTTTAAAAATTTCTCTCTCTAGGCTGGGGCTGTAGCTCAGTGGCAGAGCACTTGCCTAGTATGTGTGAGGCACTGGGTTCAATCCTCAGCATCACATAAAAAATTAAATAAAATAAAACATCGCTCTTCCACACTCTGAAACATTCAGCCTCATACCAAGACATTCCAGCTCTTCAATCTACTTAAGTTTCATTTCCAAGGGCAAAATGCATATCAAATTCTCAGTTCGCCTAAAACAAAGAAATATCTACCAACCCTAAATCCACAGGGAAGAATTCTCTTAGGACCGTGATGACAAGAACTTCCATCGCTACTGAAATTGTCTTTGCAATCTCTGTCTCTAGGAGACTGAAAGGCTGCAGAGACGCTTGAAGATCCTGCTGGGAGTTCGGCTGGAGGAGGGAGGAGGCGGGGAAAAGGGTGAGTCCCACAGAAGAACTGCATCAGAAGACAAGACTTTGAGAACGTCTAGAGGGAGGAGGTTAGTTATAGGGGAAACATTTATCTCCAGATTATGCGCGTTTCAAAGAGAACTTAAAAGTGATGGGGGTAAGAAAAAGTGACAGAAAACAATTGACCTTCCCCAGCCAGAGGGTTATGGGAAGTACCAAAAGGGGACCTGGGAGAAAAGCGTGGTGAATAAGGTCCCCAAAGATCGGGAATTGGAAAATAAAATTAACCCGTCTATGAGCTTGGCTTTGGTCGGGATCTCCTGTACGAATAAACGGATAGGAGGAGGAAAGGATCACACTATTCAGGGTTGTAGGGAGTAACGCGTTTACAACGGTAACGAGCCCTGCAGAAGAAGATGTCGCCTTTCCCTGCCTGCTCCCGTCCACTCCTTTACTTCTATCTCCAGTGCCACTTGGGCAAAACTTTGCCAAATATTGCATCGCTGGAGGACAGCAAAGGGAAAATACCTGAGTCCCAGGAATCACACCTGCAGCCACAGGAGGTGGAGCCGTGGACAATTGAAGCCGGGACAAGATCCTCACTCGCTCTGGTCAAGCCTCAACTCTCACGGGTGGGGCGGGGAACTTCCGCCCGGAGCAAGGACAACGTCACTTCCGCCTAACACCCTTTTTTTTTTTTTTTTTTTTTTTTTTTTTTTTCCCCCCACCCCCAGTACCCGCCCTCCTCTCCGCCCTAGTTACGTTCCAACGTTCTGACTTCCTCTTCCCGGACACTTCTGCCTTAACATCTGACGTGGACTTCATGACCCAGCATTCATCTCGGCGGATCGATTTCCGGGTCAAGAGGTCCGCTCTGAGTACATCACCATGGAAGCGATCGGTTTGGTCACGTGGTGCTCCTGGTTMCGCCCGGTGGCAGCTGTGGGGTCTGGGACTCTAGCGGGGGCCATTTTACCAAAAGGCTGCCTCCCGGAGTAGGAGGCGGCCTGGCAGCTGGCTCTAGGTGTTCCTTTTCCTCCTCTGCAGTTTGGGGCTTGGGAAGGAAGTGAAAGGCTGGGCTTCATCGAGCCCTTCGGAGACGGCAATGGTTCCCTTCAGCCTTCGCTACCTGACCACCCTCCATGGCGGCTGCGCCATCCTCGCTGCTTCTGGTGCCGCCCCTTTCAGCCGCTTATGCCTGTCGCCTCCAGAGCTGCGGTCGCCCTTCCGCCCCAGAGACTGATGATAATCGAGTTGGGGGCACCATGAGAGGAGAGAAAAATTACTACTGCCGCGGAGCTGCCGGGGACCACGGCTCCTGTCCCCCTACACCTTCACCTCTGGCCTCAACCCTCTTGTTGCCGGCAGAGGCAGTCTCAAGTAGTTGGTCTGGGCCTGGAGGTGGTTTCTCAGGGGGAGATGAAGAGGAGACTCGGCTCTTTCAGCTCTTGCGCACCGTCCCCGATCCTTCCGAGGCTTTCCAGGCTTTGCAGGCTGCTTTGCCACGGCGGGGCGGTCGACTTGGCTTCCCCAGACGTAAAGAAGCATTGTATCGGGCCCTGGGCCGAGTGCTTGTGGAAGGAGGTAGTGATGAGAAACGACTCTGCTTGCAACTTCTTTCCGATGTTCTCCGAGGTCAGGGGGAGGCAGGCCAGCTGGAAGAAGCTTTTAGTTTAGCACTTCTGCCTCAACTAGTTGTCTCCTTACGAGAAGAGAATCCAGCTCTGCGGAAAGATGCGCTGCAGATTCTGCACATATGTCTGAAACGTAGTTCTGGACAGGTGCTAAGAACGCTAATACATCAAGGTTTGGAAAGTACCAATAGCCGACTTAGAGCTTCTACTGCACTACTGCTCCCCATCTTACTTACTCCTGAGGATTTGTTGCTCGGCCTGGATCTCACTGAGGTAATAATATCTCTAGCCAGAAAGCTTGGTGATCAGGAGATAGAAGAAGAATCAGAGGTAGCTTTTTCTGCACTTCAACAAATTGGTGAGAGACTTGGCCAAGAGAGGTTTCAATCCTATATCTCTCATCTGCCATCTGCACTGAGGAGACACTACAATCGCCGCCTGGAGTCCCAGTTTGGAAGTCAAGTTCCTTATTATTTGGAACTTGAAGCCTCTGGATTTCCTGAGGATTCCGTCCCTTGTGCAGTGGCTCTTTGCAATAGCAATCTTAAATTTGGGATTATTCCTCAGGAGCTGCATTCAAGATTATTGGATCAGGAAGACTATAAGAACCGRACTCAGGCCGTTGAAGAACTAAAACAGGTGCTGGGAAAATTTAACCCTAGCTCTACCCCTCATTCTAGTCTTGTTGGTTTCATTAGCTTGTTGTATAATTTGTTAGACGATTCTAACTTCAAAGTGGTCCATAGCACACTTCAGGTCCTGCATTTACTAGTTATTCGTCTTGGAGACCAAGTCCAACAGTTCTTAGGACCAGTTATAGCAGCTTCTGTCAAAGTACTAGCAGACAACAAATTGGTGATCAAACAGGAATACATGAAAATCTTCCTCAAGCTAATGAAAGAAGTAGGTCCTCAACAGGTGCTTTGTTTACTCCTGGAACATCTTAAACATAAGCATTCCAGAGTAAGAGAGGAGGTGGTGAACATCTGCATCTGCTCCCTCTTGACTTATCCCAGTGAGGATTTTGACTTACCCAAATTGTCTTTTGATCTTGCCCCAGCTCTTGTAGATAGCAAACGCAGGGTTCGGCAAGCAGCTCTAGAAGCCTTTGCTGTGTTGGCATCATCAATGGGCTCAGGTAAAACCAGCATCCTTTTTAAAGCTGTAGATACTATTGAACTGCAAGATAATGGAGATGGACTGATGAATGCTGTGCAGGCCAGATTGGCTAGAAAAACCCTACCAAGGCTAACAGAACACGGATTTGTGGAATATGCAATGCTCATGCCATCTTCTGCTCAGGGTAGGTCAAACCATTTGGCACACGGAGCGGATACAGACTGGCTTTTGGCTGGTAACAGAACTCAGAGTGCACACTCTCTCTGTGGTGATCACACAAGGGATAGCATGCAAATGTATGGATCTTACAGTCCAACTGTCTGTACCCGGAGGGTATTAAGTGCAGGAAAAGGAAAAAATAAATTACCGTGGGAAAATGAGCAGCCTGGGGTTCTTGGAGAAAACCAGACCTCCAATTCCAAGGATATAGAGCAGGTATGCTTGTATAATTTCCTTGATTTGAACTGAAATTAAAATGAAAATATGCTTGTGATGACTTAAGAATAAGACTACATGAACCTTGTTACACTGCTTTAATTTAAATGCTAATGTGAGTATTCATTATAATGGTACGAGTCAAGTATAAGACCACTTAATAGGCTTCCCACTTTATTTATTGATTGATTGATTAAATTTGAGGCCCAGTGTGATGTGGACAACACCTGATTGCAATTTTGAATTATTACTTTGGTATGCCAGTTATGGATTCATACAATAAACACAAAATACCTAGCAGGTACCAGATAAGGAACTAAGTTCTGGAAATGAARATGAAACCAGTTCCACACAGTTTTGGGAAAAGGTCAGTTAACAAAATTTCTTAAGTACTAGATTTAGTATATAAAGAGTCCTGTGGGGATTTCTGAATTACTGAAGATAGAAAAAACTAATAATAATTGTACTAGAATTAAAAGTTAAAAAAGTAAATTAAGCATAAAAAGCTGTAGAGAAGATAGTGACATTTGAACTGAGATTCCCCCCAAAACTTTTATTTAAAAAATTCCAAGTCTATAGCTAAGAGTATGAGGATCCAATATTTACCAGTTGTTAACATCTTGCCATATTTGCTAAACCATTTGAAAGTTGCATACATTTTGACATTTCTGTCCTAAATGTCTCCAAAAATATCTACTAAGAATAACATTGTCCTAATAACCATAATATTAATATTTTGCCTTAGAATATTAATTGCAATTCAGTAACATCTAATAGTCTGCATTTACATTTCTCCATTTGTCCCCAAGGTGTGTTTTGTATTTTTTGTTTTACTTTTGTCATCCAGGATCCAGTCATGGTTCATGTGGCCAATATGTCTTCTTTATCTAGCATTCTGTCTTACATATTTGTGTTTCTTTGTTTTTTTCATGACATTGACTTTTTAATAAGAGTCTCAGATAGTTGCTTTGTAGAATGTGTTACCTTTCAAATCTACCTGTTTCCTTATAATTAGATTCAAGATAAACAGTTTTAGTAAAAATATTACATAGGAGATATGTAATATGAACTTCATAGTACATCAAATTTTATCCTGTTTCCTTATTAGTGAAGCTTAACTTAATTATTTGTTTAAAGTGGTAATAACCAAATCCATTGTAAAAATATATTTTTTTAAAATTTACAATTAGTGTATAATCTGTAGGACGATATTTTTGAGACCCTGTGAATATCCCAACAACTTTTCACACACTGGTTTTCACATCCACTAAAGGGTTTTACACCTGTATTATTTATTGCACTGGGAGGATACAAAAAGGGTAACTAAAGAAAAAATTCTAACATTTCTTCTATATTTGTTAGCTGAAATTCTCTTATGTGTAATAAATTTTTACATACATCTTAATTTCTTTTTTTTWAAATTTTTTTTAGTTTTAAGTGGACACAATATYTTTATTTTGCATTTATGTGGTGCTGAGGATCCAACTCAGTGCCTCAGGCATGCTAGGTGAGCGCTCTACCCCTGAGCCACAACCCCAGCCCCTAATTTCTTAATTACTAAAAAAAATTAGCTTTTTTAATTTTTTAATTTTTTTGTAGTTGTAGATGGACAGCATGCCTTTATTTTAATGTGGTGCTGAGGATCAAACCCAGTGCCTCACATTTGCTAAGCAAGCAGTCCACCACTGAGCTACAGCCCCAGCCCAAAATGTAGCTTTTTTGATGCTAAAATTACCTCTTATTTGACCAGCAACTGGCTTCTATGTCCTTTGGGCTTGACTCTAGTCCTTGAGCACTTTCTTGACATTTTTTAACATGATGCCCAGGCTTACTTTGTACTTTTCCTACTTCAGACCTGGAATCGGCTATTTTTTCAAGAGTCCTAATACTGCCTTAGTAGGTGCAGTATTTAAAAACCAAAGCATGGTATAGATTTGCTCATTGCTATTTCTTTTCATTATGAATTGGCTCTCTCAGTGAACAGAATCATTTTTATTTTTATTTTTWAATTTATATTGATACCTCCAATTCAAATCCAACTGTACAGAGTTCTTCCACATCTTTTTTTATTCCCCATTTGAATCTGTCTTCTCCCACAATAAAACCCTAGATCCCAGCAAGTTATATTTATTCAGACACTGTTTCCTACAATATGCAAAAAATTACTAGACTGATACCATAAATAACTACATTCTGAAGTTCAAGATTTCTTTACAATTCTTTTTTTTAATATTTATTTTTAGTTATAGGTGGACACAATATCTTTGTTTTATTTTTATGTGGTGCTTAGGATCGAACCCAATGCCTCACACATACTAGGCAAGTGCTCTACCTCTGAGCCACAACCACAGCCCCTCTTTACAGTTCTTTTTGTTGTTATAATTATCCCAGAGTTRTGTGTTCCAATTTTTCATAAATTCATTCTTTTATCTGG